CCAGCTCGGGTCTGTATTTCAACAGTTCGTTCAGGGGTGTACCAACTGAGCTAGGCCAGTTGGTTTCTAGCAAACTTTGCCGGCTTGTGATTATGCTCTGCAAGCTATCGAGCACGTGAACAGATAGATTTGCTAGAACGCAGGAAAACACGGACGGCATACTTGAGGGATGTCCCAAGGGACCACTTGAGGGATGTACCAAAAGGTCCACTTTACATAAGACGGCATACTTAGGTCCTTCGGGACATCCCTTAAAATTGGAACAATACAAATAAGATTAGCATGGCCCCTGCGCAAGAATGAGACGCATGAATCGAGAACTGGCCCGAATTGAAGAAAAAAAAGGGGGGGCGGCATACTTCAGACTTCCCCCCAAGTTGTTTGTCCGTACCGTCAATCAGAAGCACTGGCTGGGGATGTGTAATCCAGCCACAGACAATTTCCCGTAAAAATCTTCATCGACTTCATCATCGGATAAGATCCACTTCACAGAGAGAGAGAGAGAGAGGTACTTAAAGAAAGAAGTGAACGGTGAGTTCATCCCCTAAACATGTTTGCGTTGGCAACTTGAAACGCTGTGAAAAAGTAGTTTGGGCGGTCCTGCAAAGTTTGGCGGCTTGAGCATACACACTCCGCCCTATCAATCGCGAGCAAAGATAAAACTGCTAGGACACGCAAAAAAGAACACCACGACTTTAGATACACAAGAGGGCACGATGGAACTCCCCCGAGTTGTTTGTTTGTCTTGCCGAGAACAAAGACCAGAGATGCGCGCTTCAGCCACCGATAATTCCCCGCCAATCTTCGTCAACTTTGCTATCGGATAAGAGATTCACTTCTCCAGTCGACCTCCATACAGACCACTATCTTCACACCAGTCCCCCTTGTTGCTGCTGTATGGAATATCCGTGTCATGGTGGCCATACCCATGTTCTGTCCTTTCTTGCATTCTGTCTCATGAAAGAGTGCAGTCACCCCACGCTAAGACAGGTGGTTGAAGCGTCATCATCAGAATCCGCCTCTATACTCCGTACATGCAACTTATCACACAGACTTTCCGGCAGTTTCCCTCTCCCTCCCCCACACGCTTCCCGCTGCCTACCTCCCCCCCGAATGGTGTTTTCCGATCCCCGTTTTCCCGCGACCTTCTTCCCAAAAGTCTCAGATGATTTATCTTGGTCACGTGGAAGCAACCAGTCAGAGCTCCGCTTCTTCGCTGCGACACCCAGTGTTACAACCCTTGCCCAGCTCTATCTGCAAAGCCCCTTCCTCCCTCCTCTGCTCGCTTACCGGTTCGGTGGCCTTCTTCCTGCCTTGCGAATACCAGTCATCCACATACCATCCAATCCAAAATCCAACCGTCCAAACAGCTCGCAAGGGATTCATTCTTCGCAATAGCCAAAAAAACTGTGGCGAAGAAAACTAAGAAAATGAGACAACCAGACAAACGTCGGATGCAGCCCTACATCGAAATCCCAACCGACTCTGATGCGTTATTGTTATAATAACTGAGATGAGGACCAAAAGAAGCATCCTGAACCCATATACAGAACCGCACCTTTCTGACCTAGAAAGGTGTCTTCAAATCCCCTCCCTCTTCCATCTCCACTCACTTCTCATTCTTACTCAACAAAAACCATGCTTCGGTTCCCCGACATCTGTATTCACATGCATAGACGTCTGCATTCACATTCATTTACTTCATACAATCTCGTGGGAGCAACGAATGGGCAGTTCACATGTTTCATCTCTTCTCGGAAACCTGTTCATACCAGACCACACGACACAGGAGATCGGCATGCGCCCTACGGAAACAGCGGAGTGCAGACGCTCAGAGGAGGTTGACTCTCCCTGAAAAAGAGTGGTTCAAACTCTTACCGCTCGTTTATCGATACCAATCTGTGGGTGTGTAACCTGCATGCATCCGGAACACTCTGATCTGTTCGACATAGATTAAACTTGACCAAATATAACAAGACTTTGGGGGGGCGGGGCCGGGGGGAGCGGCCGGGTGAGGCAGGGAAAGTGAAAAAAGAATGTCTAGTTGCCAGCCAAAGGATGTTCGTCTTGTTCCATGGCCTCGGCAACTGAATTCCGGATGGCTTTTAAGTTGAGCCCTTGAGAAATGGCGTCGAAAGGTTTTTCATGAAGGTGAAGAGGAGTGTCAACTATCGATGGATGAGTGATAGGTTTGAACACCATTGACGTACAGGAGGATACTGCCAGCGTTCATCCCGCTTCCTGAAATAAAGGGGTTTCTGCAGAATATGCAACCATAAACTTCAGATGTAGAAAGTTCTCGGAGAAAAGAAAAACTTAAGGGCAAAACTGTATATCCGTGTATAAATGTGTGGCGATGCCTTCACCGTCAGCAGAAAAGTGGTTCTTTCCTGCCTTGGGCAATAACCCTCTGGCCTAGGTACATCCTCAGGATCTCGCTGTTGAATCTCGTCAAATTACGTCTACCAGCCCTCGCACGCACCACATCACAAATCCAGTGCCCAGCCCTCTCTCTCTCTCTCTCTCTCTCTCTCTCTCTCTCTCTCTCTCTCTCTCTCTCTCTCTCTCTCTCTCTCTCT